CTTCTGAGACGGCCCGCCCCCTGCGCACCCCAAACGATGCGAAAAAGCATGGCGGAAACCCCCGCCTCGGAGAGTAGGGCCAATGTTTCTGCAAAGGTATGACGGAAGCAGCGACGGCAAAGTAGGGCGGAAATCGGCATCAAAGGAGCTTGAAAAATAGGGCAGAAATATCCGCGCTACTTGCGAAGTCGCCCAAAGAACGGCGGATCCGGAGTCAAGACACCCAGCTCTCGTTTTCGCCTTTTCCGGCCTCCTGGGAGACCCTCCGTTTCCACGGCTGGAGTAGCCTCGAAACTCCTGTTAGAGCGCATCCAGGGAAGAGGTCTAGGGAGCAGCTGCAAGTGCCTTTTCGCAGGAGGAGGAAGCGGAGAAGGGGAGGAGGAGGAGGAGGAGGAGGAGGAGGAGGAGGAGGAGGAGGAGGAGGAGGAGGAGGCGGAGGAGGAGAAGGAGGGAGGAGGGAGGAGGAAGGAGGGACGAGGAAGGAGGGGGAGTTCCGCAGCCATTTGGCTAAAGGCATGGCCAGCAGATTTTTAGTTGCGTGTATCGCTGATTGAACATCCATTCGAACTTGCATTCAGGATGCTTCCTGACCATTCCTAGGATGCGCACGCCCTCGACACTTTAGGGCCAACTTGCTCCGCATCGGTGGAAGCCACATTCAAGGTTGTTCGTTCGGGTCCAAACAGTGTGCGATGAACCCCCAGTGGAGAAGGCGATGTAGAGAGTTGGACACAGTAGCAGGATGGGCGAGGAAACTTTCACCCGAGAAAGTTCAAACTTCCTTACCAAACTCGACGCGGAGCTCGCTGACCAAAGTGTCAGCACAGAGGCCGCGAACGCTGCCAATGACAATTTCTTGGTGTAACCTGGAGGTCACGTTGACATTGGCACTCAGACCCAACTCAAGATGGAACACTTCCGTGTCAGTGATCGCGGTGGTGGTCTCCCCGTCAAGATGGACAAGGGAGATGAAGAGGACTACGAAGAGGCCTTCTATCTCACGGTTGCAAGCGATCTGTGCTCGCCAGAAGCTTCCAAATAAGCGAAATAGGCAGGCATCGTCAAGTCGCACTCGTCGTTCGAGGGCTCAGCGCCAGCTCATCAGCAGGCGAAAAGAGGAGAAGCAGATGGATGCGAGGCAGCTCTGGAGTTGGCGGTGGGCAGGAGACCGACCCCATCCAGCAGGAGACAGAGGAGGAGGAACTGGACGCAACCGTCCCCACTCCGCTGCACAAGGCAGAAAAGATGGACACAGAGCGTCGAAATATTCTAGGCATGGTTGATGCAGCGTTGCAGCTGACAACTCCGCGCGTGAGCCGCGCGAAGGTACTCGGTCGCTGTACGCCCAAGCCCGTTCCCAAGCCATGACAACCAAAGAAGCAGGTGCACTGCCCTATGTGTGCTACACCTCTGCACGCGATGCGGGGGCTTCTCAGGCAAGGTCCGTTCTTGTATGCAGAGTGTGGCCCCACAGTATGAGCATCTAGTTGCCACATACGCTACAGCATCTGTCTCTTTTCTGTCCATTGACTCCCGTCAACATATTTCCCCTCCGCCCCCCTTTCTCCTCTCGCTGCCAGTGCTGGCCCAGCCGAGGGGATTCTTTGGGGGGGATGGAGGAGGACAGCAAGATTGGAGTGCTGATAAGCTAGGCAGCGGAAGAGCAGCGCGGCGCATGCTGCTCTCAGCTAGGTTCCACATCTCTGTCAGACCCCCTCATTGTGGCTCCTCCACATGCCCTCCCAGCCACGCTGCAGTCTGCTCTGAGCTATGCTTACCATCTCTGGCTCTGCATGTGCATGGGGGGCGAGCAGGTGCAACGGAGTCGGCAACCGCCGAGTGCTGCCCCTGTCCACCCCCATCCCCTCACGTGATCCCTCCAAGAGCTCTTCAAGGGGAGGCGGAGGAGTTCAAGGTTTCGAATCAGATGTTGGAGGGCGAGATCGAAGTGGAACGGAGAGCCCCCCGCCCCACCAGGAAACCCGTTTCGGCTTCGGGTTCGTGTCGTGCGCGCGGGCGAAGCGAAGCTGCGTGGGCGGGCGAGAGGAATGACTCTGCTGATGCGAGACGGGGCAAGACAAGTGTCCGAACCTCCCCCAATGAGCGGGCGGTGGCCAGGTTGTCCAGCCGTAGCCGTGGTGTTCCATCAGTGTCCTGTCGGTGTCCCGTCGGTGTCCCGTGGCTGTCCTGCCGGTGTCCCCTAGTGAGATCGATAGTGGGATCGACAATGAGACCGTTCGTGAGACCGACCAATCATGCAATCGATTGTGAGATCGATAGTGAGATCGACGGTAAGATCGACTGTGAAATCGATCGTGAGATTGATAGCAGGGTCGATCGTGAGATCGAGAATGAAATCGATTGGGTGAGACGTTGAATCCTCTCCCCGAACCTCCTTACCACCCGAAAGGTGGTCGTATCGGTATAATGCGTGTGCGTATGGGTTGTGGCGTGTGCGCGTGTGTGTGTGTGTGTGTGTGTGTGTGTGTGTGTGTGTGTGTGTGTGTGTGTGTGTGTGTGTGTGTGTGTGTGTGTGTGTGTGTGTGTGTGTGTGTGTGTGTGTGTGTGTGTGTGTGTGTGTGTGTGTGTGTGTGTGTGTGTGTGTGTGTGTGTGTGTGTGTGTGTGTGTGTGTGTGTGTGTGTGTGTGTGTGTGTGTGTGTGCGTGTGTTGCGAACCCTGAGCACCGCAACCTGACAGCCAGACGCCAACCGACCACGGGCTGAACAAACATGACACTCGGGCCCAGAGCTACACGCTCCGCGTACGCAGGCGCACGCCCGACGGCGCCAGGGTCAGGACGGGCCCCACGGCCACGCCTGCCCTGTGGAAGGCGGGCCGAACCAGCCACGCCTCGGGGCCGTGCCCATTCCCCTGGGCCGCCTCGGGGGCTCGGGGGGCAGAAGGCCGCCGCGGGGGGGACCGCACGTTACGCGGAGGGGGGGGGGAAGGGGGCGAAGAGCGGGGTGTGCCGCGCCAAGACGTGGCATGTGGTTGGTAGCATCCGCCAGCCCCGCCGAAGCGGACCCCCGCCGTGGGGCAGGGGTTGCTCGCACCCCACAGGCAACACGCCCAAACGCAGCAGACCCTCCCCAATAAGCGAGAGAGCGGAGAGAACACCAGGGAGTAGGACGAGGAGAAGGAGGAAAGGGGAGGAACAAAAACGACAAACCCATTCTTAGGGCTGGTGGTATTTCTGCCGGGGTGCACTCCCCGCCCCGAGGTGCGGGCTAAAGCGGGGGCTCGCCGCACCATCACAGGGGTACCCCACTGTGTGTATGTGTGCATTGTTCGATCGCAAATAGCACTTCCATCTGCTGCTCGCGCCAGAGGATCCTCTGCGTCGCCGACTTAGAAGTGTGTGTGTGTGTGTGTGTGTGTGTGTCTGAATGATTGTGAATGCGTGTGTGAGAGAGAGACAGAGAGAGAGAAAGAGAGAGGTTGTGTGCGTGCGTGCGTGCGTGCGTGCGTGCGCGAGCGTTACGTGTATTGGAGGGGGAGTTGGAGGACCCCGCCCCCTCCCAGCGCGCATATGCCCTAGCAGTGCACTCCCACGTGAATCGAGACAGAAGCCGTGCCCGAGGCGACGCACGAGCGTCCTAAAAAGGCGGGCACGGCCGCTCCATATCCTGGCGGATTGCACAGCCGCCCATCGCACCTCTATTCCTCACCCCTCCCTTTGGTTCCCTCACCTCCTCCCCCGACTATTGAATAGGTGAGAAGTGCCTCAGACGATGACGGCTATCAAAGCGTCGTGAATGCAGCAGCCTTCCTGCCATCTGCAGGCGCAGGTTGGTTTGGGAGTGTTACCAAGTGGCTTCTAAATCCCCAACCCCCTTTTGAGATAGGGAGCGTGGCGGAAGGGGGTGGAGGGGAGGGAGGAGGGAGGAGAGCTGTGGAACAATAAGAGACCAATCGGGCATTCACATTGGGATACCGTTCCTGGCCTCGTCCGATATTTCTCGCGCCGCCGCGCGAAGCTAGGTTGTCGTACTTCCTGTGCCAAGAGTGCCAGCCTGGCCAGAGAGCCCGACACTCTTGGACTCGAGCTCGCAGATGTCCTGCACCGCAAGGGCCCTGTGTGACCCGGAGCAGCTACGAAGCATTGCCATGCCATGGCTATGCTCCGAGTCTGGCGTCCTGCTGTTCCGGGTCTCCCTTCCCAGTCCCCCAGGCTTGGGGTCGGATCGGGGGCTGCCCCGCCGACGGCGTCGAGAGCGCAGTGACCGTAGCAGTGCAGATCTCGCTCGTGTTCCCCTGTCATGCTGCGGGTAGTTGTCGAGTCCTGTGTAGGTCTTGGCATGCCCAGCCGATGACCCTCGCCCTTGCCGTTGCAGCTGCATGCGTGACAGCGGTGCGCCCCCTTGCGTCTGCATGTATGCTGACAGCTGTCTGAATGGCGTGGCTTCGGGTCTGGTCGTAGAGATACGGAATTCGAAGGTGGGGTGAGGAGCAGAGGACTTACACACCGTCACCGAGCGAGCGCCCTACGTGGGTTGCGCCGCGCATTGCCTCCCGACGAAGGTTGGGTGGTCCTCTCAGGGTCGGCTTAGGATGCGAAGTTCGACCCTTCATTCCAATGTCGCCGATGCTGCCGAGGAGGGAGGATGAGGAGGACGAGGAGGAGGAGGAGGAGCAGGAGGCACGAGGAGGGACGAGGAGGGACGAGGAAGAGGAGAAGGAGGAGGAGGAGCAGGAGGAGCAGGATGAGAAAGAGGAGGCCAATGTAAGCTCAAGACTCGCCAACGACATTGCAATACACCCTCCCTCCAAGCTCCTTCTTCGTAGGTCTCGGGTTCATGTTGACTGAGGGAAATGCCCCGTTGGAATACAATCGCTCGAAAATTCGGAAGTCAACCAGGACACCACTCTAGGGAAACCAACGCCACGAATAACCATTACTGCTGCGCCTTGGCGACCCTGAATAGTGCCAGAGCACCAGTCCTAGGACTTGCACCGCGAATCAACGTGACTGTTGCGCCCTGACATTCCGACATCGCGC